GTACCCCAACCCCCCTGCCCCCAGTCCCTCGATCCCCCCTCCCGCCCTCCAACCCCCCTCGGTCCCAGCCTGGAGCCCTATCCTGCACCTCAAACCCCTCATCCCCCAGCCCCACCCCAGAGCCCTCACCCCCCCTGCACCCCAACCTGGAGCCCCCTCCCACACCCTGAACCCATTTCTGGCCCCACCCCAGAGCCCCCACTCCCAGCCGGAGCCCTCACCCCCTCCTGTACCTTTACCCCCTATTTTGTGAGCATTCATGGCCCACCATACAATTTGGCCCTCAGGCCAAAAAGTTTGCCCACCCCTGCCCTAAAGCATGATATTCATTAGGATTGCTTGAAATATCTGTCCAGGAGCAGCTCAAGACTAAAAGTTTCTTTTGGGGTACTCATGAAAAGAAACTGATTTCTAGGGGCCATACCTGCCATCCTTAACTCACTATTGATTTCAGTGGGAAATTTTGCTTAAATATGGATGACACGATATCTCTCTGGGCACTGCAGGTCTATCAGACAAAGGTCTAGAAATTGGATATAAAATACATTAGTTGTCTGTAAAAAGGAATAATTTCCCTTATCTCAACATGACTTTACTGTGGTAAATTGCAAGGACTCTCTTTCTTTTTGGTGTGCAGTGTGTAACAGTGAGGAAAGGGACAAATTGCCCCATGTGCTACCGAATAAGGGTGAAAGACATCCCCAAATCCTCTATGGAATGATCCTGCACAAGTGCACAGCAAATTAGATCACATGGCATACCATCTGAGCCCTGGTACATGCCTGCCACTCTGTGCAGGAAAAGGTGGTGAGGTTGTAAGGATAAGGCCTTTGTCTGCGGCCATATTGTAAGGCCTAAAGCCTCAGGCCTTTGTCTGCATCCAGATTAAAAGAGCAGCCGAGCAGTAGCCATTAGAACCATAGAATCATAGAATATCAGGGTTGGAAGGGAACTCAAGAGGTCATCTAGTCCCACCCCCTGCTCAAAGCAGGACCAATTCCCAAATAAATCTGCTGAGACGCAGAAAGTCACATCCTCACATTTCATCTAAATTACATTAAAACAATGTAATATCAGACTGTTAAGAAGGAGACCCCGTCCTAATGGCAACCACTATCACCAGATACAGAAACAGATCTTAAGTTGGCTAAAGAAAACTTAGTTTGATAGCATCCTGTTGGTCAAGAAATCACTTATCAATAGTTGTGGTTGTGAAATCCTCATTTCTTTGTTTTGTCATTATGGTCCCCACTTCCCTATTGTTTATCTGTATGGTCTCTGTCTGGTTCTTTAATTGTTTGTCTGTTACATAATTAATTTTGCTAGGTGTAAATTCATTAAGGTGGTGGGGTAGGATTGGTTAGAGAATTTTGTTACACTGTGTTAGGATTGGTTAGTAAAATTTTAGTATAACGATTGGTTAAGGTATAGCTAAAAAGGACTCAAATTTCACTATATAAACTGGGGTCCAAAAGAAAGTTCTTTGGGAACCAACTCCGGGACACAGCCCCAAAGATCAGAGCTGCCAGACGTCAACACTCTGCCAATAACACTGTGCCGAAACTGGAGTCCCCCAGATGGACCTGATCCTGACTGGCCATCAAGAAAAGTTAATTTGTTTTATTGGGAGAGGTGAGCATTGTATGTGTAGCATGTGCATTCTGTTTTTGGTGATTGTTAATAAATAGAGGTGATGTAGTATATTACTGTGTAAGGCTCTTTCACTGGTAAAAGGTCCTGCACACCTGCAGAAGTAGTATACACCCAGAGCCCTCTGTATTGGGAAAGAATGTGGGTACTTAAATTGACCAGGTTAGTTACACCCTGAGCCCTACGAATTGGGTAAGGGTAGGTGCTTTTCACCTGGAGCCCTACAAATTGGGTACAGGTGAGGTGCCCTAATGTGTGCAGGTAACAAAGTCAATGTACATTTGAGTGTGACCATAGGAAAAGAGGCAGCTTGGTACCAAACCCAGCAGAAATTAGCCCAGCGGAGCAGCGTACCTGGTGCACAACTTAAACCAGCTTCAAGTTGGTATGAATTATCCTCACTCCACAGTGCACAATGGAAGATGAGAATCAGAGCTCTAAGAAGATGGGAGAAGCATTTAAAAAAAAAGTGGATGCAATGACCAGATGCCTTGGAGCCTTTTCCAGACTGGTTTATTGTCAGGCCTCGGGACATGGGGGGCTGGGGATGGACAGTGCTGACAAAAAGGTGTGTTTATTGGGAAGGCGAGGGTATACATTGCAGTTATTATTGTGACTGCTGGACCAGTATAGGGTTCTGGTGGTGATGCTCCTTAGAGCATTTTCCCTTCCTTAGAAAGCAATATCTAGCTAAGTAAATATTTCCTTTGTAGATCACCCATTGTATATATTATATACTCTCTCACTCAACATTTATACCACACACTTCACTGTGGATGCTAAGTGTGCTCAGCATGATTAACTAAATTATTTAGCAAATATTGTATGAGGATTTTTTAATATTTGTAAGTATCATCAGTTTTCTTACTTACCCAGGTTTTTTGGATCAGAAATATATATTTGATGTCAATAATATTCAAACAGAGTGGAAAGTTCAAGGTACTCAAGCTAGACTGTGTTTTATCACTTGTAAATGTCTCTAATTTAAAATTTACTCCATCCTTTGTAATTTAGGTAAGGGTTGGCATCTGAGTCAAATCTGAAACCAGCACGACTGGTACCGCGTGTAGCTAAATACAGGAAATTGCCAAACATATGGACAAACTTAATTCCAAGGTAAAATTATCAACCAGGTTGATATTGTAAACACTTTTCTTTGAACAAGAACGTATGTTAATCCATTTTAATATCATATGTCTCTGTAGTTTTATTTGCAATTATATTGTATATTTATCTGCTGGAATCAGTAACAAGAGAATTAGAAGCATGATCTCTGAATGTATCCTTTCATCACACAGTTAAATCTTGGTTATTAACTTCTAAAGAATTCTTCTTCACTCAGATGAGCGGGTAATCAGTTTGGCACACCCAATGGAAAGCAATTTTATTCTGTGGCTGAGGGAGAATGTATTATTGGAAAGAAATAAAAAATCATGACATGGCTAGCTGTGAGCTAATCATCACCCTTGCAATCCTAGAATTCATGGCTTATATTATCCCCACAGATAAAAATCAATGTGGTTAGATGACTACTGCATATTGTGCAAGATCCTGAAATCCTTACTTAGGGTCCTTACTTATAGGGAAAACCTTCACAGGGAGAGGAACCTCTACAAGTTGAGGGAACTCAGATGGTGATTCTCGCCTGCAAAAGAAGTTGGGGGCACCACTCCCATTAACCAGTGGATCTCCCATGACCTGTGTAGATCCCTGGGATAAGCAGGAGCCTCCTGCCTGGATTGCCCTTGGTTTACTTCGTCACTCAGTGTCACTAGTTTCCAATGGCCCCAGAGTTGTGCTTCCAGGGACTACCTTTGTTATGGGTCCTCCCAGATCTCCCTAAAGGCTTTATAGGTGTAGAGTGAAACAGAGTATTTCTACCAGTGTACACATAATGTAGCAGTGTGACAACTTGAAAAGACTCATTCTAGAAGTGAAAATAAAACTATTTTAGTGCATCCCTGAGCTTAACATTTTTAAGGAAGCGGGAATTTTGCAAGATGTATGGAAAAAAACACTTACATCTAAAAATTCAGGGTGTCGTGTCCCCCCGTCCCCGGAACTGTAAAGCTTCTAGTAAGATACAGGTCTGTCTCATCTTATGCGGGGGTTATATTCCGCAGTCAGTACCTAAAGCGAAAATCGCATATAGTCAAAATTACATTGAGTGTAATGGCGGGCGGAATCGCCCGCACTACAGAAACAGTATTTAAATTGTTATTTTTCTTTTTTTGTTTTCTTTTTGCCGACCGCATAAAGCTGAAATCACACATGGTATATGTGCCTAAGATGCGACAGACCTGTATTAGGTTTACAAACCAAACCATGTTAAAACAAACATAGCTAACCCTATTTGGACTCAAGAAATATCTCAGGCCAACTTTTTCAGAGGCTTGCAAGGTACATACATATTGTGTATTATGAAATTACTAAAAACCAACGTTACTTGAAAAGCACTTGTATACCACAGTGTAGTATTAACACAGCTTCTATTTTATAGGTAATACTGTCTATCATTGTAGATATCTTCATTCTATAAGATACCATTGTTACCAAATTTGCTTTACTTTTGAAAGGCTAGATTCTTTCTGGGAATAAATAACTTTATCTTAATATTTTCACAATTTGTTCCTGGACTTGTTTACTGATCCAGTAAAATGATGAAGGGTTCAAAACTGCTGTGAAAAAAATAAGCTTCTGTTCATACAGCATGGCACCTGGGACCTCCAGCACATGCCACAGGTGATATGCAGAGAAGAAGAAATAGCTACAGAAGAAAGCAGATGGAGATCAAAATGCTCAGCACCTTTTTTGTGTGCTTATAATATAAGTTCTGAAAGCACGATGGAAGCAGCAGACAACATAAAAGTCATATAAACAGGCCCCTTATGTTTCCTGATTCCAGGACTGTGGAATTTGCCAACATATCTTACCTTAGATATGTGATCTGGAATCTAAGCTTTTATTAAAAAACGAACAACCAGAAAAACTGTCTTACCAGCTGTCATTGACCTACTCTACATTAAGCTTTTTTTTTGAACTTCCACACTGTTGCACTACCATAGATCCCACTGGTGATGGCAATGGTGGAAGCTCAACTGGCTGCCAGTGTTTTTACCATCATACTGCCTAACTTTGCAGAGTAGGATGGAATGGAAGGATTTCAGGCACAATATAAATGCTGAGATTTCACTTTGATAACATAAAGAAATGTGCAGGAACTTTCACCATGAATTAAAGTTAAAAGAAAATAACAACTTTTATTCTTGGCAAATCTCTACTCTTACAAAAATTGTGATTTGATCTTTAATATCTACAGAGAACTGTGCTTTTTAGCAACTCCAAGAGACATGTCCATTACATTAAACAACCCAAAACATAATTTGTCTGTCTCAGAAAGATGAAGAATGGAGATGATCCCCCTTACATTTGGTACTGTGGTTGCAGGGAGAATTTTCACATTGCTGATGAAAGCAGATGGTACTTCTGGAATTTGTTTTGAGTTTCTTAGATATGGTCTGGAAACCCTTTCTGTATAGCACTGTGAAATTTTCAGTATAGTAAATTAATATTTTAGCTACACAGAATCTGCCAGAGTTTTCATTGTAGATTCTGTGTTTAAAGGGGTTTATAAATGAGTTCTAACAACATGCTCTGAAACATTTAGCTTGCATGGCTAGTAATATTGGTACACTATATCTCATAACAAAACTCAGTACAATATATTAATATACATTATTTCAACCTCTCTGACTTGAAAAGGAGTTCATATGCAAAGAGGAAAGTTGTAACAACCATGTTTTTTTCCAAAAAGGGACAAAAAGCAAAAGGAAATACAATAAATAGTTTTATTTTTACATTATAGAGGTTAAATATGTACTTCCAGCCTATAAGAGTAATTTCTAGCAAACATTAATGTACATGGACTTCTACTTAAAGCATTATAACACATTAATATGCTTTTACAATCATTCCACTATACCAGGGGTAGGCAACCTATGGCACACGTGCCAAAGGTGGCACGCGAGCTGATTTTCAGTGGCACTCACACTGGCTGGGTCCTGGCCACCGGTCCGGGGGGCTCTGCATTTTAATTTAATTTTAAATAAAGCTTCTTAAACATTTTAAAAAACTTATTTACTTTACATACCACAGTAGTTTAGTTATATATTATAGACTTATAGAAAGAGACCTAAAAACTGGCACGTGAAACCTTAAATTAGAGTGAATAAGTGAAGACTCGGCACACCACTTCTGAAAGGTTGCCAACCTCTGCGCTATACTATATATCATTTCTCCATGAATTGTTTATGGCTCCTTCGTTTATTTAAAGTACAGTGCTATGCTGTGTTCAGTGTCAATACCACAAACCAGAGACTTTTCTGTAAAAACCACATATTAATACTCATAATTTTCTTTGCATTCTTTGTTTTCCATTGAGTTACTCTCCCCGGTATGAACATTTTATACTAGACATTTTTTAGAATCCCTATCCACAAGTGGTTCCTGACTACAGAAAATGTAAAGCTATATAAATCTTAAGAGGATTGGCTATTGAAATATAAGAGCCCCAGGATTGGAGGTAAAAAAAGGGACATCACAAAAGAATAATAATGCTTTCACAACTTTTCTTCAGTTTTCCAATTTCTATTTTAAGTTTATTAGCAAGATTTTGCTCCATAGTGTTTGATTCGAATGCTTGTACAAATCCGACATCTCACTTCATTGTTAGGACTGTATGTTCCAGGGTCACAAACCACTGCAACCAAACAAATATACAGTATTTCAGTCAGATGCCTTCCACCTTGGGCTGGGTTATACACATTATGGAATTTTCAAACGTGTATTAAGGATATTCAGCAGATCACTAAACTAGCTCCAGGTTATATTTTTGCATGCTGAATATTTCATATGGAGCTAAGTGATCATATAAAGGACAACTACATTCTTAATTTTAATATATTTTATATCAGTTACTTTTCATTTAATATTTTAGTGCTCCATTCCGACATACCCTGTAGGATAACTCCACCTGTATTACAGAATGCGTTTTTCAGTTTCTCTGAGATCAACACACTTAGCCTCACTTCATAACACAGTAGCCTGAACCAAAAGTCTGATCAGAAATTAAGGGCTCAATCCAGGGGCTGAGCACTTTGGCCCGATCCAGCAATGCACATTTACTTTGCTTAACATTGTGTAACATTGACTCTAGGTGGCTGCTTTGCAAATTTCAGTTGCCATGAGCAATAGATGTGACTGTTGGAAATGACTAGTGACATGTAAATACCCCCCAACTTCACTTTCCTGAAAAGTTTTTCTGGAGGGTTAGCTATTTATTTTTTTTAGGCATAAAACATATATGTATTGCATAGCCTTTGGATAAACTCAGAATTTAAAAATACAACCTGTTCAAACTATAAGCTTGTTAAAAAACCAATATCAGCCGAGTGGATGGCGTGAAACTACAGATGTGATAGATCTTGATTTTAGTAAAGCTTTTGACACAATCCCACAGAACATTCTCAAATGCAAACTAGGATCATATGATCTAGATGAAATTACAATAAGATGGATGCAAAACTGGTTGAAAGACCATACTCATTCAGTAATTATCAATGGTTTGCTGTCAATCTGGGGGAACATATTTAGTAGAATCCTACGACATTCTCTCTCCTGAGTCCAGTACTATTCAACATTATCATTAATTTCTTGGATAAGGAGTGGAGAGTATGCTTATAAAATCTGCGGATGACAGCAGGTTGGGAGGGGTTAACAGCTGACCTTTGGTGTGACCCAGTATGGCCATTTTTATGTTGCTAGCACTTTGGAGGTGAGGATTAGAATTCAAAGCAACCTTGACAAATTCAAGAACTGGTCTGAAATCAAAAAGGTTAAATTAAATAAAGACAAGTGCAAAATACTACCCTTAGAAAGAAAAAAATCAAATGCACAGCTACAAAATGGGAATAACTGGAGTTGAATATGAGCCAACAATGTGATACAGTTGTGAAACAGGCTAATATTCTGGGATATTTTAATAGGAGTGCTATATGTAATACATGGGAGGTAATTGTCCCTCTCTACTTGGCACTGGTGAGGCTTCAGCTGCAGTAGTGTCCAGTTCTGGGCACCACACCTAGGGTTAAAAAGATATGGACAAATTGGAGAGTCCAGAGGAGAGCAACAAAAATAATAGTTTATAAAACCTGACCTATGAGGAAAGGTTAAAAAAGCTGGGCATGTTTAGTCTTGAGAAAAGCAGCATGAGAGGGGACCTGGTAAGTCTTCAAATTTGTTAAGAGCTGTTGTAAAGAGGACAATAATCAGTTGTTCCCTGTGTCCACAGAAGCTAAAACAAAAAGTAATCAGATTAATCTGCAGCAAGGGAGATTTAGGTTACATATTACGAAAAACTTTCTAATTATAAGTAAGGCTATGATTATGTCACGGAGGTCATGGAAATCACAGACTCCGAGACTTCCACTGTGACATTTTCTGCACTGGGGCTGGAGCTCTCAGCCAGCCCCCTTGCAGCTCCCAGTCCCCGCCCTGGTAGGGGAACCCCCCGTAGCTGCCCAGCTGCAGCATGGGGCAGCCCTCCCGCTGCTGCCCAGCTGTGGCAGGGAAACCCCCCGCAGCTACCCAGCCGTGGGGGAGACGGGATGCTCCGCAGCTGCCCGGCCTCAGCAGGCTGCGGGGGACCCTGCAGCTGCCTAGCTGCGGTGGGCGGCAAGGGGATCTTCCGCAGCTGCCCAGCCACGGCGGATGGACCCTGAAGCTGCCCAGCCACGGCTGGGGGACCCCCAGGAGCTCTCAGGCACTGCAGGGGAGGAGGGGGGGCGAGTGGACCCAACAGCAGGCTAGCCCCTGTGAGGGGTGGGGAACCCCAGAGCTCTCACTTGCTACAGGTGGCAGGGGACCCCAGAGCCTCATCAGCAGTAGGTGCTTAGCTGAATCCACCTCCCCATTTTGTCAGGGATATTTTTAGTCGAAGTCAGGAACAGGCCACGGGCTGCCGTGAATTTTTGTCTATTGCCCGTGATCTGTCCCTGACTTCGACTAAAAATATCCCTGACAAAATTTTAGCCTTAATTATAGGACTTGTTAAGCACTGGAATAGGCTTCCAAGGAAAACTGTGGAATCCATGACATTGGAGGTTTTTAAGTACAGGTTAGACAAACACCTGTCCAGATGGTCTACATATATTTAGACTAGATGACCTGTCAAGGTCCCTTCCAATCCTACATTTCCATGATTCTATAACTCAATTCTAACTAACCGCTGTTTAAACAGACAGTCTTTGCACTGTGTACTGAAAGCCAACACAAACAGAGGCTATGTCTACACTGCACTTTTGTCAGTAAAACTTTTGCCAACAAAGCTACCGTCCCTGTTTGGGGGTGGTTTTATTTTGTGGGCAAGAGAGCCCATAAAGAGCGGCTACACTGCGTACCTTACAGCGAAGTGGCCGTAGCAGCACAGCTGGGCCGCTGTGAGGTGCACAGTGAAGACATAGCCTGAACGCAAGAACTAAAGACCTACTGAGAATGCCCTGCCTCCAGTAACCCTAAATTCAGAAATAGATACTGGTAGCAGGAGAACTCCTAGAACAGTTGAGCATTTATTTTAAAATAGCAGTACTATGAGAGTGACAATTTCTTATTGATCCTATGTCCTGAATCCTATAACTGATCTAAGAGCAAGAGGAGAAAGTCATTTAGCCATATTTCCAGATGGGCCAATGACAGCAGTGGTAGCCTTTATTACAGTATGATATGCATCAAATACTATCAACACTTTTTTCTTGGCTGTTTCAATTCCTGCCAACTTTATCACCTAGAATCTCAATGCCTCTCCAAAAGATAAACAGCAGTACACTTACTTTTATCACCAATATTAAAAAAAATATATATATATATATATGGTAGAAAAACTGTAAGCAGGGTTAATATGCAATAATCTTTATATTGCTTGCTAAAAAATATGGATACTTTATTTTTCTATAATTACCACAGCAACTAGCGCAGTCATTGTGGGTGTCATCATTTTTTCCAAAACCTGGACGACAGCTGTCAATGCGAGTAACTTCAAAACTATGGTCTATATAATGTATTGCAGGTACATTCCGAAACTCGTGCTTCAGAACATATGTTTGTTTATGGAAAAATTCTTCAATGAGATCTCTTGCCTAAAATTTAGGAACAATGAAATGATAAATATGACACTAGGATTTTGGTTTTTTGTAGATTAGATATATCAATAAATATATTTTGTCCTAATTCTGCTTGAATATGTATGATATGAAATATGGGCCTGATCCTGGACCCACTGTACTGCATCCCGATCCAGAGTCTTTCTGTTGGCTTTAGTGGGCTTAGGATCAGGGCTTTATACTGTATATCATAAACAATCACCATGAAGCTAAATGAACTATATATAAAACAGAAGCTACACTTGATAGTTTCTTTAAACTGTATTACAGCTACCAAATCATAATCCAAAGGTCTATGTTCTAGGAAAACTGAAATAAAAAAATACAGTACATGTTAACATATTGCTAATTTTCATAATTTCATATTTTAGGAAGTAAATGTATAAGAAACATTAACACTAGCCTCAGCAAATTTTGGATAAATATGACATTTAAATACAGTTCTCTATCTTGAGCTGAATTATTTAAAATCCAGACATAACATATACATTCCTGCTCTTTGCATAGGGTGGATTGCAACCAGTCAAAATCTGTAGATACTAATGGTGAAATTCACTGTAGCATGAAGGGACCATGAAAGCCTTCTAGAACACTTAAACCCTACTGATCCACTGAATACAATGGTGGACAGACTACCCTGAATACAAAGAAAAGTACGTAAGAGTGGGACGTCTGCATGGATATCTGCATGTCCTTTTAAATAAGGGGGGGAGAAACATTCCACAATGGTCCAAAATTGGTTACATAGGGGATCACTGGGAATGGATGTGTGGAGGGGCCTCTAGTTCCCGTTTACATGAATCCAATGGGCTAAAATATCTGCATAGGAAACATGGAGTAGCAATGGCTACTATTTCCTACCACATCTAGAATAGCTGCACCAAAGCACCACGGTCTGCTTGTGGATTGATGGAATAAATTCCTTCTCCATGCTGCGCGTGCTCTTCGAGACTTCCCTGCACAAAGCCCAATTATCTAAGGTTTGTACAGGGAAAAGTAAATTTCACCTTTAACTAACTTTGTAGTCCAAATTTTACAACCCACAACACGCTCCCTCCCCCCCCCCTCCGGCAGCGCCTCCTTCCCTCATTTTGAGTTGTAAAATAGTCACATGTTTATTGCTTGCATTAAAAAAATCCTACCTCCTGAACTCTTCTGTTGGTTACATCTTCACAGTCATAAGAAATCTGTTGGCAAACTGCTTCCCATCCTGGGGCAAAAGGATTTACTATAGAAAAAAGGAGAAAGGGTATAAAGGCAAAACTGTTTTGTAATAGCTCATCACAAATACCTTGAAAAATACATTACGAAGGAGCATCCTGAAATGAGTGTCTTTCATTTGGAGATTTATTTTACAAAGCACTGGCATGCAAACACCAGTCATCATACTGTTGCTGCTTCTTATCTTTATATTACATTAATTTTATGCAATTACAATATAACTCAAGAGCAGAGGCACTCTCTATTTTGCCTCAAATTTGTGAGGAAGAATAATTTTATTACATTTGTTTCTGTGGTCAAGATATTGTTTTTATAACTGTTGTTCTTGTGATCCAAGATACTTAACTGAGTTTTTAATAATAAAAATAAAGAGAAATGGATAATCAGGAAGGAAAGGCAACTTCGATTACCTCCGACTGATTAAAAACAGGTAAGGAAATACTAAGAAAACATGAACTTGTATAAATCAGTTAGTCTAGCTGGATTGGCATTCTAGGATGTTAAAAGTATTAGCTAATTAACATTCTGAATGCTTAATAATTACTTCTAAAGGGTCACGGAGAACTGGAGAGATACAAGGTTCTGGAAAAAAACTATGTGGTATCATTTATTAATAAGGGGAAAAATGAGTGGTCCTGACGATTCCTATCCAGTGACGTTAGTGTCATTCACTAACAAAATAATTAAATGATAAGAGAAAAGATCTGGAAAATAGAGATGGGACAGACTCAAACCCCCATATATACAAATAACTTCAAACTATGGAAAGGTCTAAATCCAGATTTGAACTTTGAGGCTTGGGTCCTATCTCCATTGTGAACATAGGTGGCGGGAGGGGGGGTAATTCATTCACTCTGATGATGAAAAATTGCCACAAACCAACTGCAGGTCCCATCGGATAAATTCTCCTCATGTAGGGCAGATACACAGTCAAGAGAAAATGTGTCCAAGGTGTCCCTGTACCTCATCAATTCCCCAGTGCCATGACACCTACACAGAGCATTATGGGTCAGCTATCCCTATGGACTTCAAAATGTAGAAACCTTGGAAACACCTGAATCCCTGGGCACCAAAAAGGTCTAAGCATTGGAAACTTAAAGATGGGAATTAAAAAAATCTTTAAACAAGAAATAATGCACAGACTTTCTGACTCACAAAGGGATTTGTTGAGGATATCCGGTACAAATTAAAGTTAACGTTGCTAGAAACAGCATATGAAGTACTAGGATTGATTAAACCAGTGCCAAAAAGGATAAGAAGGAAGACTTGGTGGTGGAATCTTCAGGTTAAAAAATCTGTGGATAAGAAAGAGGTAACTTTTTTAAAATGGCAGGCCAGTAGCTTGAGCAATGATATGTATAAGGAGGTGAAAAAAGAGGCCATTAGAAGTGTTGTCACAGCTAAAAATTTGGCTTGTGACAAACTATATAATCAACTAGGAGGATATGACAGAGAAAAGACCAAAAACTCGCTAAGGCAAGAAAGAAAATGCTCATATGAGTTTATACATACTAGAAATTAACATGGCATATTGCAAACAAATGGTCAAATTGCAATGATCATGGACGGAAGATGACCAAGGGGAAGGCCAAAGACTTGGTATACGGACCGGATAACAGTGGACATTAGAAAGACTAATTTGCATGACAACCAGGTGTACAATCATGAGTTTCGGAAGAAGACTATAAAAGTTGCCAACTCCGAATAAGGAAGTGGCAAGAAACAAGAAGAAGAAAATAGCAAGGAAGATAAATCTGATCATTTTTCTGGCAGAATTACAACATTCATGAAGAATCATAAATGAACTATATCCGGACTTTGGTAAATGATCTTCTGGGAATGGGCAACAGGGATGGATCACTTCATGATTACCTGTTCTGTTCATTCCCTCTGAAGCACCTGGCATTGGCCACTATCAGAAAGCACAATACTGGGCTAGACAGACCTATGGTCTGACCCAGTATGGCCGTTCCTATGTTTCCCAAGGCCCTTTGCAAACAACACCCTGTTAGAGAATAACCTTTGCCAGTAAGGTTGTAAAAAGTGTTTTCCTGGCTCTCTGAGCTCTGGTCAAGTGAAAAAATTCTCTAAATTCAACTAACTCATGAGCTGCATTATAGCTCCATCTATGGGCTAACAAGAAAAAATACAGAAATTCTGAAGAAAAGAAGAGAAGCAACATACGAGGGAACATGACTCTGATATAATTGCAAATGTTATTTATATTGTCCTTAATTTAACTCTTTTGTTAATAAAGTAACAGTGTGACACTACCTCTTAAACAAATGCTTAAATCTGTTACCTTGAAAAGTAACAAATAGCTCATCCAGGAGGCCATGCTTTGGTATCTTGATGACATGACATTTGTATGATGGTTCTATAACATGACATGTCAAATCAGAGATTAAATCATTCAAGATTTTCTTCAGCTCTTCAAAGAATTGACCATTAGCTGCTAGTCTGCACTCTTTTGTAGTAAACCGAACAGATATCTGGTATGTGTAGTCAGGCTCCCGATATGCTTAAAAGAATTAGTATACACATAAGTACATGTAATATAATGTCTGTCCCACACATATTAGATTTCCTATGCAGTACTATTCTTTGTACCTTATATCTTAAATAGACTTATTTAGAGGCAAACCAATTTGTTTACTTATTAAGCATGATGGGCCAAATGCATCCTTGATATAGCTTCCCTGACTTAAATGGTGTTACACTATTAATTTAGTTTGACATGCACAAAATTTTTTGTATGTGTACGCACTATATTTTTATATGACTATGTGCCTAAATACCAAACATGGGAAAATGTTATATGTCAAAATAGCTACAGAACATGGCCATTTTTCAGCCTGTGCACTTGCTTAAAAAGTAGACATAACTGAAATGTGATGAGAAGTTGTTAAAGGAAGTACTTCATGTACCTGCATTTTAGGGTGGAGAGTTTTGAAGTCTGACTGGAAAGAGAAATTACATCTGTTTCTTTCTCCTTTCATTTATTTTTTTATAATTGTTTTTGGGAGAATGATGGGGTTGCTAAACTGCACAATCTGTCACCCTTCCACCACTTGTAACATATGTCATCAACTAAGATCAGACCAGGACAGAGGCCCATCTTTGACACCTCTTTGGAACAAGATCACAGCCACACCAGAGCCTCCTCTTCTGACCTTGGGTACCTTTGGGGGATGGCAGGAAGAAGGCAATGACCTCATCTATTTTTCCCAAAGGTAAAGATTATTTCATTCTCAAGGACAGTCACCACATGCTCCTGGCAGTTGTGTTGATTTGATTGAAATCAAAGTTGTATCGAACTGACTTTTCAAAAATAGGTATTTAGAATAATAAAGATGTTTAACACCAAGGTGCTTGAAAATGTAACTTACATTCTGGAGTACAGTGATAACTAATTGAGTTTAATAAACCAATATTCAGAAAAATCACATGCACTAGTGTACCAGCAAATTTGTATGGTCTTACCATATACCATAAATTTATATGTCTTAAATTTCTCTCTCTCTTCTTGTATGTCAGTGTTGATGGTTTTATAAGAAAGAGTGCAAGTATAAGATCCAGACATAGACTCCTGAAAACCTCTCACCATCAGTTTTCCTGTTTCAGTGAGATTGACGTAACTTTGTCCTAAAATGGAAACAGGAAACTACCTGATTAATATTAGTTTTCAAAAAAGTAATTCATTTTTTTCATTTATGGTATTCATAATACCATTGTTGGTGTTCAAACTAGTGGAGTGGGGAATGTTTGTGTGTTTACATCTGTAAACTGATGGAGTGGGCCAATGGGATCGGCTATGAAGTCTTTTACCAAGTGAAACTTTTCTCCACAGTTTTATTCTTGATCCTGTCTGTGCTTAGTTAACAGCAACAAAAAAGGAAAATATAGATTCAAACAGAAAAATCCCAAATCAAACAACAACCCAGCCCACTAGGCGTGGCGCTCCACCTTCTCCATAATCTCTCACCCATTTGGTTACCAAGCAGTGATTTTTAATAGTGCTTCAAGTTTCCCCTTAAGTGCATGATTGGATATTCAATCCCCAGCCCTGCTTCCTTAATCTACTTTATAGATCTGTGTCAGTTATGTGAAGAAAATTACCTCCTTTCTTTAAGGAAATCAGGAAGAGCTTCAAAACAAATTCTGACTAATCACACATTATTATTTCTTATGGAAAATGGCTTAAAGAAATGAAGGTTAATGAAAGCATTCATGAATAAATTCACATAAGATAATATGACCCATAAGTCACACCATCTCACTGATGATAGGGATCACCAAAAACTTAGAAAGCGTGATCTCACATACAGAATACTGAAATCTACTCAACCATTAGTGATGGAATTATTATTTTTCTGTAAAAGAGTAGAGAAACAGAAAACAAAGATCTATCTCAACAGAATTTTTCATTTTTGCCATTACATATGGATTGCTTCTAGTTATGTGATAGTCATAAAAATCAGATTCTGTGGGTTAGTAGGTGATGGAATAAACATGGAACCAGTAAGACTGTATATAAACTGTAATGAGGAGAAAGTAACTTGCCTTTTAGATTCTTTCCATTGGGTCCAATCCATAAATAGTTTGGATCTATTACTTCTTTCTGAGAAAGTGCCAAATCCATGCATACTAGAAATGGACTATTTGTATACACTTTAACATAAATGTTCACTGCAATACAAGAGAATGAATTAAATGACCAGCAATGCTGAAACTGAACGAAATTACTAAATATCAATTTATATAGATATATATATATACACACACTATTTAATTCTTTACTTTTTTAGGTCCAACTTGCAAAATTAGTTCAGCATTACACTAATCTCTTAATAGACTTATTTATTATTATTATTCTTTAGTACTGTGGAACTGTCCACAATGTGCTTCATACTGTCCAGATATACTGGAAAATATGGTCCCAGTCCCAAAGATTTGACAGCCTAAGAATATCAGATCTCCAGTTTGCAGCTGAGGTGGTGAGAAGGCAAGAAGTTCCCGAATGCTTATTCTGACATTAAATGCTTACAAAATTCTATAGTGGGGAAAGGGGGAAAGTGTTTGTTAAACCACAGCTCTGCATCATGGGAACAGTATTGTTGGAATCGCCAGCAGCTCTTGTTGTTCCCATGGTGTATTCTGATAAAGGTTAATGCTTTAATATAATAAAGGCTCGTGCTAAAATACAATAAATTGACCACTGTCAGCACTTAGATTTTACACCCCTGAAAAACATAAAGATTCAAGAGCATTTTTCTAATATGATCTATTTAATTTCTCATTAAATAATAAATTGTGCTCCCATTGACTTTGGCTCACCTCCCACCCAAATTAAAGTTCTTCTTTAGAGTTTTTCTAAATTAGTTTCCATTGTAACTTTAATAGGTAGTTGTAAACATGTGGTGTTAAACTTTTTGTAGAATAAATCTATTATATGAATTCTATTAACTGTGCTGACCAATCAGATACTTTATGGGGTCAATCTGGTAAATGAACAAAAAGGAAAGAAATGAACAAGTACAGACTGGATCCATATGGAAATGAATAAGCTATAGCCCTACTCTATATCCCAGGTACAGAAATTTGTGGGATCTGTTACAATGGGTATGGAATAAATACATTTTCCACTGCTGTTGGGGGTGTAACAGGTTTCCATCAATGGTACTATGCCAGTAACTGTACTTGTTTCCCACCAGGCACGACCATTCGCCATCCCCAAATACTCTGCCACTCTAAGTTACCCACCATGTAGTAGTAAACAGGTATTTAGAGAGCAGTTTGGACTCTCTGCACCTTGGCACAAAGGCTTTTTAAACACCGTTTACCTCAAAACAAGTTTTTTCTCAAACCCACCTCCGTGTGTGTCAGAATGGGACCATGTCTAATGTATACGCCGTCCTTTGATTAAAAATACATAATTATTCTCTTTTATCTTTCTTTTACTGTGATTCAGTTAAAAACATTATAGCCCAGGCCAAAACACAGTTCTGCATACTTGACTTACAGTCCTTACTGAAACAGACTCTCCAAGATTGTGCAATATTGATAGCTTGTAGAATGAATTATCATTTTGCCAATACCTTTTTCATTTTATATAAAAACCCATTAAGTGCACATCCTACTGCTCTGTGCAATCACTTAATTCAAAGATCTTTCTGTTTACAATGTCCTTTATTGCACAGTGGCTATGATTTGTTGACAGCTTTCAGATTACAGTAATTGAATTGTTCCAGTTGGGAATAATTTGAAGTAAAAAATTTAGTTACCTATTTTATGAAATCCATTTCCTGTTTATATGCTTGAAGAATTATGTAATTTTCTATGTAATTAGGATTTGAAATTCTTGGTTTAATAACACAGCCACAGTCACCTACATATGTACATTAGTTTATATGCTTTATTGTTATATTTATTATATTGTATTAATACTGCATTCAAATGCTTACTTAGATCTTAACTATAAAAATAATCACCTTGATGTTTGATGTTGCCATAAATGTAATTCTTTTTAATTACTTTAACAGAATATTGTTCTTCATCAATTGCAGCTTCCACTGTAGAGAAAATACAGTAATACTTAAAAAAAACATTTTAAAAATCAAATTTGAATGTAGTTTGTTTCCCCTTTTATTTTATTCCTGCAGTTCCCCTCCCTTCCATCCTTTTCTTAAAAAAGGGACTCCTGTTTACTGTTCGAGTAGTAAACCTGTCTTGACTTTGGAGCCTCCAAACTGGCTAAATATTGAACTTTCACACACACACAAAAATGTAACTAACACTGGTCTACAATTTTTGAGAAGTCGTCTGCTTCAGAGATAAAATGTGCTATTTATTATGTATTTTGATGTGCTGAAG